AATAAAGGCAAAATATGACTACAGTTCCTACCTTCATACCGTCTTATTCTATAAAATATTAAATAAGAAAACTAATTTTTTGACACGTCATACATGAGATCTTAGCTTTCGACTAACAAACTCCAAACATTAGATATAACACCCTATATTACACCACTCCAAGCTGTAAAAGTACAAAGAGAATTTTTGTAAAAATAAAACCTTTACCATATGAGGCTCAGAAATAGGTATCTCGGTAAAGGTTTATGATGCAAGGAAATAATATACAAGGTGTTTTCAAAGTTGAGTCATTTATTTTAACTTGTAGAAGCCATCAAAAGAATTGTATAATAAGAGAGTATACATTATTAAAAACTATTAAAAAAAAGAATATCTAAATAAAATCCTGAGGCCCACGAATGAAATTTTCCAGTCCAGAGTACTTACTGCTCCATGGGTCCATTACGCCCTATCCATCTATTCTAAAACTGATTATTTAGATGTTCTTGAACTTTTCGTCTGAAATGTGGTGGAACCCCATCATATAGGCAGAACATATTCTGTCTCACATTTAGAAGAACATCTAATAATTGTGGCAGATTGTGTCGAAGTAAATCTAAATTAATCTCACCGGGCAGTCGAGGTGGAAAAAAGGAGGGTCAAATAAGCATGCCATTTACCACGCCCGATCAAACACTTTTATATAGGTGATTTTTGGTGTATCAACTCTCTTTGACGTGTCCGACAAGCAGTTCAAATAAATTACTCAACTTTGAAATTGATTGATCAGAAAATGCTGTCTAACACTAGGCGGATGTTGCTTTGACCAAAAGGTTGGGGACGTCAGAAAGAAAACTTCAATCGCCATTGGTACCCCCGCAACGTATACAGTAAATATACAGCGTGTTCCTTAATGATATGCGAATATTTAAGGGTGTGAATCTGAATGAAAAATTGATGTTAGCTTGCTCTATAAACTATGCTCCAAAAATGTTTCCTTACAAAAACTCGCGGTGTTGAAGTTTCAGGAAAACAACGGAAATGAATTAATATTTTCAGAACCGCGTCAGATATTTCACTGATATTTAGTACGCCGTGGAAGTTAACAGAGTTGCATATTTTTCAATGCAAAAATAATTTTTAGCTTTAACAATGGCGTGCGTATGGGTATTGACTTCGATATCTTTTAGGAAAAAAATGATATGCCAATGGTTTTTTGGCAAATAAAAATCATTTTTGAATTCCCCGTTCAATTTTAAACAAATGGTCTTTCCTGTATTGTTTTGCTTCGATGCGCCATCTTTTTATAAAAAAATTAAAACCGTTCTATTGTCTAACTCGCAAAATTATTATTAATTTAATTGGAAAAATTAAACACATTAGGGGTAATGAACAACAACAACTGACTGCATAAACATAACATTCACTTAGTATGCATGCGTCCGTCCTCCTTCTCATGGAATTGCACAGTCGTTGAAATGTCCCTGGAGTGTTTTTTATTCTATCACAAGCTGCAACTATTCTTCCTCCTAATTCATCTACAGTGTTAACGGGACTTGTGTACACTAATGTCTTAAGATAGTCCCACAAAAAGAAATCTAAACTGTTGTGGTCTGGGAACCTTGGTGGCCATTCTTGGGGCCGACCGCGGCCAATCCAACAACTTGTATAAAGACTTTTAATAATTACGAACCGCTACCACTGAAATGAGCTGGTGCACCGTCATGCATGTACCACATATTGTTTCTTATTACTAACGGAACATCATCAAGCAGCAAAGGCAACTGCTGTTGAAGAAAATTGAGGTAATTCTTCCGTCAACTCGTCCTGGCAAGAAGAATGGGCCAGTAAAGTGGTTGCCAATAATTCATGCCCATACGTTACCCAAAAATTGGTGTTGGAAATGGGTTTCCGTTACGGCATAGGGATTTTCTTCTGCCACAAGTGATTATTGTGGAAATTCTGAATGGCGTTTCAAGACAAATTAGCTTCGTCCGTGAACAGAGTCATTGATTAAAATTGCGGATTTTGTGTAATTTTTGGAAGATACCACTGACAAAAGGTCACACGCCTTGGAGAATCAATGGGAAGTAATGCCTGTACTCTTAAAATATGGTAAGAATATAACAAAAAATCCACTAAAATTCTCCAAACAATTTGATGGCAAATATTTAAGTGTCTAGAGATCCTCTTCGTACTCATTTCAGGATGTTCTTCGACTTCGTGCAGCACTGCTTCCTCAATTTCAGGTGTTCTCACACTTAGAGGTCTACCTTCAGATGCTCCTTTTCGAACAGAACCAGTTTCAATAAGACGATGATGTATATTAGAAAAGGTTCGACTATCTGGCAAAGCACGATCGGGATATCTCTGGTGATAAATCCGTCTGGCTTGCTCTCCATTACCGCCGGCAAGGCCATATACGTAATTTATTTCCGCCATCTCTGCATTTTTATAATCCACCATTATTAGCAAGATTGTAAAAACTAAATAATGAAAAAGATGTCACAGCGAACAGATTTGAATAACAGAGACTTGTCAGATGTCAAAAGCTAGTGACATATTCCAGAGCAACTAGATATTTATTGCTAAATTGCATTCTTCAATGATTACATTAATTTTTTTGGACAATTGAACGGTTTTTATTTTTTACTTAAAAATGGCGCATCGAAGGAAAACAATTCAAGAGAGATCATTTGTTTTAAAATGAACGGGACATTCAAAAATAATTTTTATTTGGAAAAAAACCATTGGCGTACCATTTTTTTCTTAAAAAATATCGTCAATACCCGTACGCACGCCACTGTTAAAGCAAAAAATTATTTTTGCATTGAAAAATATGCAACTTCATTAACTGTCACTACGTAGTAATTATCAGTGAAATATCTGAAGCGGTTCTGAAAGTATTAATTAATTTCCATTTTTTTCCTAAAACTTCAACACCCCGAGTTTTTGTGAGAAAACATTTTTGGACCGTGGTTTATAAAGCAACCTAACATTAATTTTTAATGTAGATTCATACCCTTAAATATTCGCATATCATTAAGGACCCTGTATACAGTGCTTTTCTTAATGGTCTATTTATTTTTCAAATGCGTCTTGTTAGCAAGATGAAATTTATGCCCCACTTCGAAACTATTTACCAACATTTTATAACCCTCTAATACGAATACTAAACATCAAAATCCTATTGGAAGGGTCTATCTGAACACGTAATAAAGTATAGAACATTCAGCTTAAGAAACTATAGAGGTTTTAACATTTCATTGGAAAAATGTTCCATATGACAGCCTGTCAGTATATTATTTTGAAACTGTTGTTGTAGGATTTTACAGTACTCATTAAAAAAAAATCAGTCATTACCTAACCAGCTTTGCTACAATGTCACAACACAGAAAAATGTTACCAACGCACCAATTTAATATCTATTTTGCATTAAGGTTGGCATTCAAATTCGCTAAATATGAAGTAACTTGGTTTGTTTCAGTGAATAAACCCTAAGTGTGTATTAAAGGGCTGACTACTCAATAAACACATCATTTCATCGCATATCAGTTTAGAGAAATAAAACTCTTGTTGAACGTTTTAGGGGGCGCCCTTCGTTTTAACAAATTTCTGAACTTCTGAGATATTTTACCCATACAGATAAATCAGCCGTCCAAACTTTTATTCCGAATAAAATATATTTGATCTCAATGTTTACCTTTATCGGTCGTCCCTAACCTCCAACTTTTCTATCTATGTACTTCGCAAACTTTTAACCTTTATTGTGTTTTTATATCATGTGGGCACCGCACCGGGCTGGAAGGTTGTGTAACCTACAGAAAACACAATCTATTTGTTTGGGGGAAGACGTATGTAAACAACACCCTAGTTTAACTACATCATGAGAATCGATTTTCCCGGGGAAGGACCCCGTTCACCGTTGCTTGCCTGATATTATCTAAATCATTAAATGTTTTTAAGGAATTCCAAGTGACACAGAAAATAGGACGTATTTGTGTGTGATCCATTGCGGAAAAATTAAGAGATATAACAAATTACATTACCTGTATCTCAAAAATATTGTAAAACATGTTTCTGTATAGATGGCGTCTGATAAAATTGAATTTCTGACAATACGAGGGAAGTCTTTTAAGTTTTGCATATAGTAACATCGAACGTGAGTACTGAAGCTTAACCTCACTCTTTGGTAAACTTAAATTCAAAGTTTTACAACAATACGTGCAATGTTCTCACTACAGTGAATCTTTAAGTGTCACCAAGTCTTTAGAAAAATGGAACTCAGCATAGAACATTTTCGCGCCATAATTCGTTTCAACTTTCAGAGACAATTATCGCAACAAGAATGCCTTGCTGAGTTACTGTCTGTTTTCGGCAACGAAGCGCCACATCAGTCGACAATTTCCAGTTGATGTGGAGAATTCAAACGTGGACGGGTCTTAGCGATGATCCCAGAGTGGGTGCACCAAAAACGGCAGTCACTCAGGAAAACGTCGATGCTGTGCGCAAACTCATCATTGAAGATAGACATGTGACACATCGCGAGATTGAGGCGTCCTTGAAGATCTCAAAGACCTCAATTCAAAAAAGTTTACATGAAGAATTAGGAGTAAGAAAAATAGTTTCTCGCTGGATACCCCACCTGTTGACTTAAGAGCAGAAAGCAGCCAGGGTTAATTGGTGTCAAAAAACGCTTGATTCAGGAAACTCAAAAAATATGTACACCATTGCTAGTGGTAAAGAATCGTGGATTTACTGTTATGAGCCAGAAAATAAATGACAGTCGACTGTTTGGGTGTTTCAAGGTGATGAAAAGCCAACAAAAGTCATCCCTCCTCGAAGTGTTTCGAACACGATGATCGCGACATGTGTGTCAAAAGCGGGTCATATTGCAACAATTCCTCTTAGTGAGCAAATAACTGTTACTGCAGATTGGTATACCACCATTTGTTTGCCAAAAGTCATCACCGAGCTTCGAAAAATCAACCCCGAACGAAGAATCATCCTTCACCAAGACAATGCAAGCCTGCACACAGCCCAAAAAACAAGGCAGTATTTAACGGAAGGAAACGTGGACCATCCTCCATATAGTCTCGATCTAAGTCCTAAAGATTTCTTTACTTTCCCGAAAATTAAAAAGAGACTGCGTGGTCAAAGGTTACAGTCACCAGAAGAAGCAGTTGACGCATTCAAGAATGCCGTTTTGGATCTACCAGCAAACGAGTGGAATAAGTGCTTCGAAAACTGGTTCAAGTGCATGCCGATGTGTATTAATCTTCGTGGAGAATACTTCGTCTTTTAAAACTACCTACCGTGTTGTATTATTTCCATATGCAAAACTTAAAAGACATCCCTCGTACATGGGATTTGGAAGATGCTTATTACTCACAAAAGCGCAATCTGACAAATGTACGGCTTTGATGATATTTGCCTAAGCAACTGCATCTCACAATTCGTTATGTATATGCTTAAAATCGCCTTTAGGTACTTCCCTTCTGCATAGCTTCTCCTAACATCAACATACTTGCTTAAAGATGTCTCACCATTTCAATCGACTTCAAGAACCAAAAAACCTTTCGAAAAGTGCAGAGTTTTTGTTTGCTCATAATTCAACTTTTTTTTTTCATTGGCGGCTCTGCTTGCGGAATCATAGTGAAGTGAATATCTGTTGCACTTAATGCTAAAACAGCGTATAATCGAATAGTGCCACGCTTTAAAACCACCACAATTAATATGGTGACAAAAAGGATTGCGGGATCAAGGCTATTTGATAATTATGATATGGCGTTGAGTTACTTGCCAATCGATAGATAACACGATGTGGTATATAATTTTTTTGTAGTTCATACTGAATTAGTGATGAGATTAGAAAAACCGTCCATTAGATTCAGTTCTGTACCCAATAGTGACATGTTTATCAGGTACCCAGTTGAGTAATTAGCAGCTTTGACAATTTTTCGACACCGTACAATAATTAGCAATACCTTGAAAACGTACAGTAAAGACACTATTTGCACCATATTTGATGCTTCATTTTGATTTCTGGTGACCGCTAATGAATTCCTTATCAGCTACCCTTCAACTATACGAACCTCAGATTCGAGAGCACTCGAATTTTACCCAAACTTGTCCGCCATATTTGATCCGAAACTGATTTCGAGAAATTGGTATCTAATGCGCTATTAGCGACCTCAAAAGCATACAAAACTCGAATTTGAGCGTAATAAAAACGATGTTTTTACATAAGCCTAGCTAGTACCAATCCGTTGCTTTCATGTCCGATACATGTAGTAAAATCATTCATCATATCAATATTGATATCAAAAGTGTGGCTAGATCTGTTTAACATAGAATGTGTTGTTCCTTTCTTTGTACGCCCTGTATAGTTTTTAAAAGATAAAAGCATAATCTGTACATGTATGTTTTACTGCGAATGCCTGGGTTGCTTTATGTTATTCATCATATGTATACTTTTTCTTTCTACCTCATTGATTTTGACATATGTAATTACATATTATTCGCTTATTTGGGTGCTTCCTTCCGGTAGATAAGTAGAGTAGCTGTCAGCTAGACTTCGCCACTGGTATTATATACAGGGTGGCGCATCGAAAACGAAACAGACGCATTTACTGGCAGCTCAGTTTTTTTTGAAAAACGCTCAGACCCGTCGAGGGGGACACAAGTTTGGCAAAAAATCACGTTAGCACGTGCAGCCCCCTTTATAATGGTATAAAATTAATGTACTTCAGTTCAGTAGTTTTGAAGATTTATTGGTTATAAGCTTAAATAAAACTAATACATCATCATTAGTGGAGATCAATACATTTGGCAGCAAAGTAATTTAAAAATGAAGAATGAACTGACCCGTTAGGCAAGTAAATGTTAAAAATGGCCACCATGACTCTCCATGCAATAATAAAGATTTTGATCAAAACGTTGCCGCACATTTTGCAATATTTGAGGAGTAATTTGAAGGCACTCCTTCACAATTTTTTGTCGCAGGTCTTCTAATGATGTTGGCTGAGTAGCATAGATTTTGCTTTTTAAGTAACCCCACATAAAGAAATCCAAATGTGATAAATCTGGCGATCCTGGGGGCCATTTAATGGCACCTCTGATCTAAATATTATCAAACACCTGATGCGTAATGTGGTGGGGCACCATCCTGTTAGAACATCAACCTATTCGCAGTGTACCACCGATCATTCTGATTGTCAAGTATAGCTGTTAATGCAGGATCTATGGCGTCTTAAAGTAATTCCAAATACATTTCACCGGTCAAATTTCAAGGTAAGAAAAAAGGACCAACTAAATGATCGCAAAAATACCAGCCCAAACATTTAATTTTTGTGGCTGCTGTGTATGAACCTCATGATGAATTCTGGGATTAGAATCGGACCAATATCGGCGGTTATGACGATTTACTACGCCATTTAAGAAAAAGGAACATTTGTCGGAAAAGCAAGTGTTGAATAGAAAATGTACATCGTTAATAATTCGATCACTCATATCTTCACAAAATTGTAATCGCCCATCAAAATCGTCTTTATTAAGTTCTTGTACCAGGTGAATTTTATACGGATGAAAGCTATGGGCCTTTAGAATCCGTTGGACAGTACGTCGACTAACACCACACACAATCTCCAATTTGCGGGTACTTAACGTAGGATGTTCATAAACTTGCCCTAGAACCCCCACTTCTATTGCTTCGTTCCTTATGGAATTTTCAATGTTGCGTTTTTTATTGGCGACTGACCCAGTTTCCCGAAATTTAGCTACAAGTTCTAGAACATATTTTCGATGCACGTTACTGTTCTCATGTCCCTCATTAAATATTTCTGCTGTTCTATTAGCGCACTGATTATTTCCGAAAAATATTTCGTTAATTTCAACTCTTACTGCTGTGGAATATACCATTAGTTTATGTAATAAAGCGTTACAAGTTATTTTAGCAACAAAGTTTGGTCAAATCAACCGCAAACTATGTACTAAATTCCAATTTAAAATAAGTACAAGACATTTCCTTATCTTTCTTCAAGAAATAACTCCTTTGCCACTAATTAACTAAATTCTTTTCGTCAAATTTCTTCTGAAAGTAGTACAAACTCATCTGATGTACCTATTAAAGTCTACTTCAAGCTTTGAATCAATAAATCTTCAGAACTACTGAATTGAAGCTCATGTATTTTACATCATGACAAAGGGAATTGAAAGACCTTTAAAATAAGGTATCACTCGACTCCCCTTTCTATTTAAGATTTTAGGGTTGGTGTCACCCCCGCCCAGGGAGCTGCACGAGTTAACGTGATTTTTTGCCAAACTTGTGTCCCCCTCGAAAACAAAATCGACGGGTCTGAGCGTATTTCCAAAAAAAAAACTGAACCGCCAGTAAATGCCTCTGTTTCGTTTTCGATGCGCCACCCTATATATATTTTTTATTATACTGAATTTTCTTTGAAAATAAAAGACAGTTTATTATTATTATCATTATTAGCAACAATCTTGTACAGTTTAGTGCTTCCAAAACACAGTACTGTACTTTGCCGAACAAAAAGCATTCTACCGCTCATCCAGTTTCGATGGATGGCCGAGTCTTGCCAAAGAGACTTTCATTTCAGCTGGTCGGAGTCCAGATCACCGAGGAGCTGATCTGGCACGAACACATTTCGTCAATGGCTGCAGCTGCTGGGAAAACGCTAGGCTACTTGTTTAGGGCTAAGAAGTACTTTTCGCCGCATGACCTTCTCACTCTATACAAGGCCCAGATATGGCCTAGCCTCGAGTATTGCTCACACGTTTGGGGTGCTGTCGCCCCGACTACATTATCCATGCTCGATGCTGTCCAGAATAGGGCGGTCCGACTGATCGATGACTCTTCGGTAACAGACAGTCTCGGGACTCTTTCGCACGGGCGGGCCGTCGGCGATCTAGCTCTTTTCTACCGCTACACCAACGGGTTTTGCTCCTCAGAGCTCTTTTCCATGATGCCGCCGCGCGATGTGCCTGCCAGACAGGCCCGCCTGACTTTGGCGTCCCATCCTAACCGTGTCGAACTTCGTACACCCAGAACTGGCCGATACGACCGCTCCTTTGTCCCGAGGGTGTCGAGATTGTGGAACAATCTTCAAGAGGAAGCTTTTCCCAGTTCTAATAACCTTAGGCAGTTCAAAAATCTGCCTGCGCGGCTGCTTTGATATAAAAAAAGGAGGATAGAAAATGGACAAGAGGAAGCGATCTTCAAAATCGTGTGGGTGGCCCTTCACCTAGTTTATCCACTTTCCGACCCAGTCCGCTAGAAAAATGTGTAGTTAATTTGCAAACATAGCGATTACTATTACGATTAATCATTCTTGTGAAGTTGGTAGGGCTAATTGGGCCTGGTTCGGTGTCATCAGCGGACAATATCCATGAAATTCCAGCATGCAGGCTATTAATATTCATGGAAAATATGAAAAACTTTTTATATAGGAATGGCAATACGAACAGGAAGATTTATTTTTAAAAGCATCCCCATAATTGATATGCACGATGGAATGTTGTGGAGGCGGAAAGTTTTGATCCTCGTGCTTGTTTGGAAATGTTTCCATTAGAGATACAGATGTCGATGACACGTTGCGGATAATCTCTAAGCCATAGAAATATTAGGTAATATCGAAATGTAGGAGCCGTTGCTCAAACAATGTATTTTCAACGCTACAGAGCCGATGAAGCAACAAACACATGGTAAAGAAGGAAGAATTGAATTGATTGCCTTCATGTGCACAAAATCCTACGAGGGTGGTCCTAGAAATATCCGACCCAACGAAGAAAACACAAAAATTTTGTAAAAAAATGTATTTATTTTTCAACATAATCTCCTTTAAGCTCTGTACACTTTTCCCAGCGATGTTCAGTAAGTTCGATACCCTTTTTATAATACGAACTGTCTTGCTCCTCAAAATAGCCATTAACTGCCGACATCACTTCTTTATCGTTGGAAAATTTTTGACCTCTGAGCCACTTTTTCAAGTTTGGAGACAGAAAATAATCCGAGGGGGCTAAATCTGGTGAATAGGATGCATGAGGTAGCAATTCAAACTTTAATTCGTTAATTTTGGCCATTGCAATAACGGATTTGTGGGCTGGTACGTTGTCGTGATGAAACAACACCTTCTTCTTAACCAAATGCGGCCGTTTTTG